GATGCAAGTATTATTGGAAAGAAATATGTTGATAATAGCACAAATGTGTTGAAAGCTCCTTTTGATGTTGAAGAAAAACACTTAACTTGGGCTAATGGTCAAATTCCCAAATTCTTTTGACAAGTTTATAATAGTGATGAAGCCATTGAATTTAATGCTTATGATGAGGTAATTAGTAAAGATGGGATTATGGATGAAAGAATTAGAGAGGAAGAAATAACCATTTATGAGAAGAAATTAACTTGTTCATCATCAATTTTTAACCGTCATATTGCAAAAAAAAACTATACTTTGTATGTCGAGAAATTTATCAGTAATTTATTGGATGCGACTGGGAAAAAATTATTTGAAGAGGAAGAGGTTAACGAGCTTTGTCTCGAATGAACTAAAATTAGCCAAAAGGTAGTGAAAAAGTGAGAACAATAAATAATCATTTTTAATTAATCCTAATGAATTATATAAGACACTGACTGATTAAATCTATTTTTTTTTAACAACTAAATTTTTTTTTAAAGAATTAAAAAAGTGTCAATATTTTTATATAGATATGATAATGATGATAATAGTTAATAATACCTTGAATAACATCCTCATTTTCTACAATATGTGTTAAACCCACTTTTTGTGGATTATGTTTAGTAGAAATTCCCTATAAAATAAATTAATAAATGAATATATATCAAGAAAAAAAATTTTTTTTTTGAAATTTTTATAATCATTCATTACCCAAACCAAAGCATATTTGAATTCATCAACTAAGGAACGATGAATGACATGACACTAAATAAAAATAAATAATTTTATTATTATATGTTAAAAGTATGAGAAGGATAAATTTGATATTTAAAATTTTCAATTCTAAACAGAAAACATTTTTAAATTTCTTTAACTCACCACATGTTCAACAGTTGCACCTCTCCTAACAATTAAACCACTCCCAAAATCAGGATATTCTGTATAAGATTATAAAATTATCTCCTTTATTAATATCAAGGCACCAGAATCAATCACATGTACATTAGAAAAATACTACCTCCTCTTTTTTTAGTGTAAACTCTTAATAAATTTAAATTCTTCCAAATCTGATCAACAAGAAAATCAAGGTTCAAATCCATTTCACAACTAATGAATGAATAAATGATAAATTTATATTAAAAAATTTATATGAAATTAAAAATATTAAATGCAAAATGACTTATCATTGCAATTGAATAAACAATAATAACCTAATGACTAATGAATTAGGCTCGTGAGCTAATTTATCCAATTCTTCCAAAGTAATAGAATCAATCTTGTTATAGCACTAAATAATAATGATGTCTTGATTAATAGATTGGTTGATTGATTTGATATATAAATAATAATAATAATAATAATATGCAATATATATGTACATATAAACAGTTAATATATTTACGATTCCCCAATACCACATCAATAAATTCATCCACTGTAACATCTTCTCTAACCAAAACTTCTGCATTAAAGATTTCTTGAAGTAAATATAATTTTATATATAATTAAAAACAATATTATTTTATTATAAGGATTAAATAAACATATTATTTTATATAAAAGGATACTGTAATCATGTAAAATATGATAAACCATTTTTTCATTTAAATGATTTAATTTAACAGTGGCATTAAAGCTAATGCCACCACCTTTCTTAACCTTGAAATAAACATTTGGTTTTTCTTTATTTAATCTAATCCCCACAGCTTCTAATTCACGTTCTAATAACATTCTATGATTAATCAATTAAAATAATATTAATGTTATTAGAATATGTAATTAAAATATTTCAATACTTGAAATTTATTTAATTACTTTTGTTGTGTGGTTTTTGTAGCATCCAACATAATCAATATTAAATCTGCAGTCCTCGCAACAGCAATTACTTGTCTTCCTCTACCTTTACCTATTTCAATACAGAAATTGTTATTATTATTATTACGTACAAGGCATGACAAACTTATGATTAATTAAAAACACACACATAAATATATATATGCTTATTTATTTATTTTTGAACCTTGTGAAGCTCCTTCAATAATTCCAGGTAAATCAAGTAATTGAATATTCGCTCCATTGTATTCAATCTTGCCCGGGATACATGTTAAAGTGGTGAATTCATATGCACCAGCTTCAGAATGAGTCTTGGTGAGTCGATTAAGTAAAGTTGATTTACCAACTGAAGGAAATCCAATTAATGCAACTCGTGCATCCCCAGATTTCATAACATCGAACCCTTCACCCTGATGATGAGTTGGATTGTAAATCAATAAGTTTGGCTGGTTAACTAATCTTAAAAAGTTACAGTAATAAAAGTAAATATAAAAATAATAACATTTTCTTAATTTTTCGCATGTTTGTCTTACTTTTGCACTAGAGCCCTTTGATGGTTCCAAAAGCTGCACTCTATATTTTGCTAGTTTTGCTTTTAATAAGCCAAGGTGATATTCAGTTGCTAAAATGAATATATGTATATATTAATAATATATATATGCATCATAATCATAATTAAAAAGCAATAATCAAAATTTTTATTATAATTAAAACAAATGTTCTACCTTTATTTTTTTGAGTACGAGATATTTCTCTTTCAATTTCAGCAATCTTTTCAAGAATTCCCATTTTTTTTTTTTGTTAGATTGATGCAAAAGATGTATTGGTATCAGTATTAGGGATGGGAACGGTTTAACCCAAGCCGGTTCAACTGGCGGCTTGAAACCGAACCGATGCGGTTTGGTTTACACATTTCAAACCGCGGTTAAACCCCAGTTAAAACTCCGATTTTGAAACTGAGCTGGTTACACGTTACATTTCAAAAATTGGTCACACTTATTCGTTTATTTGTTTTACAAAATATTGGATATAAAATATTAATTCACATCTTGATGCAACAAATTCTATATTATTGTTATTGTTATTGTTGAGGGATTTAACTACAACAAGATAATTAATTACATTTATAATTTACTATGGTTACTAGTACATGGGGCATTTGAAAAGTTTTGTCACTGGTCCTGTAACTTTATAATTTTGAGTATAATTAATTTAAATTTTTTT